ATACGAACCCAGACTTCCTGTTTGCAGGACGGGTGACTTACCTATCAGGTAGCCAGGCGCTGATTTAGTGCATTTCTGACACTTGTTGTGAGCATCAAAGGCTTACTGATGCTTAAAGGGAGCATGGTGCTGATAGATGATGGTCATAATGTTATGTCTGATCATTTTGAACCGTAATTCTGCTAAAAACGCTGAAAGGGGACAAAAACAAATCCCAAAAAACTTTTTCCAGCATGTGACTCCAAAATGAGAGCATTATGATTATAACTGGATTAGCAAAACTGGAGGCTGTTATTTCGGAACCTTTTTTTCAAAATCCAACCTAATGTGCTTTAAAAAACTAAACCTATTTTAGCCAAAAGGGCGGGTTTAAATTTAAATTGATCCAAAACAACTTAATGTTTTCACTGAAATGGAAATTTCCCTAAAAGTGTCCCTAACCGTCGGATCTCCGCTGAGGTCGATTCCCACCACCAAGCCTCCAGACGACAACATGAACTCCTCGGCCAGCTTCACCGTCTCCATGGCGACTTCAGTCCCATTTCTCCGGTCGATGGCCACCAAAAACCTTTCAGTTACATTTATTTTTATTATCAAAGCACAGCTGGTGGTAAACATAGAATAAAAGCCATGATCATTAACCTGACGTCTATGTCCACTCCCTCGTCTTTACACTGCTGAATGGCCTTAATGACGGCTTCCACGTAATTCTTTTTCGTTAATCCTAGGATAAAAAATAAAACCCAACTGTTAACAGAAGTTGGATCCAAGACAACGAAGCATCGAGTCAAACCCTCTGGATCCATTTTTAAATCCGTACCTGTGTCCTTCTCTGCCCTCGGAGTGCTTCTGAGCTCAAGATATTTGACATTATCAGCTGCAAACTCTTTGATAACATCTGTCGCCACCTTGATTAGAAATAAAAATCTGTGAGTTGAAATCCAGTGAATGTCATAAAATAGAAGGTAAATTCTCACCATCAAGATGTCCTCCTGTGAGTCCACCAGTTTGTGGATTACTTTAAAGACCTCAAAACATCTGCAGAGATGCAAGTAAAAGGGGCTGATTGTTTATCTGTTACTTTGTTCTTTATTCACAGCACCAGTTAAAGACAGAGATAAAATATATATATAATGTTTTAATGATCAAAGACGGCATCTTCCACATTCAGTATATGCAGCAAAGCATTAAAATAAATAAGGCTGCGACTAATGATTATTTTGCTAATTGATTAATCTGTAGATTATTTTTTGATTAATTGATTGATAACTGTATGTAAAAAGGTAACAGGGGCTGCTCAGTGGAACAGTGGGTAGCACTGCTGCCTTGCAGCAAGAAGGTTCTGGGTTTGATTCCTGGGGTCTTTCTGCATGTTCTCCCTGAGCATGTGTGGGTTCTCTCCGGGTACTCCAGCTTCCTCCCACAGTCCAAAAACATGCCTGTTAGGTTAATTGGCTTCTCTAGATTCTCCTTAGGTGTGTGTGTGTGTGAATGGTTGTTTGTCCTGTTTGTCTCTGTGTTGCCCTGCGATGGACTGGCGACTTGTCCAGGGTGTACCCCGCCTCTTGCCCATTGACAGCTGGAGATAGCCACCAGCATCCCTTGCGACCCCAATTGGGACAATCGCATCAGATAATGGATGGATTTTGAGCCGTCTGCCTCCCTTCATGATGCCAGCGTCGACAGATCCACATCTGGGCCTGCAGCTGTTCATAAATCACTCTCAGAAAGGTGTGCTCTCTCCCATATGTCAGCACAGGGAATCCCTTTCTTACAGTCAATGAGTATTCAACCTTTGACCAAGATGGTATATTTATGAATAAACTAATCGTCTGGGTTTTGGCTTTGTTTATTATGCTCCACTGGATCAATAGATTGAAAGAAGGCAGCTTTCTCTAACATGCTGAGAGTCTAGGCTTCCCAACGTTACTTTATTGTGAGACAGCATGACTAAATAGTTGAGGTGGGATATGATATGTGCTCTAAGCACAGGCTGACATAACCACCAGGATTTTTTTTTTTGTAATTAATAATAATAATTGAACTTTATTGATCTCACATTGGAGAAATTTACCTCTGCTTTGCCACTCTTTGCAGCCTCTTTTTTTTCACGTTTCAAATGAACACACTTTCATTAAATCCTTTACGGTAGTAAAATGGAAGGAATGGAAGAATGTGGAGCAGGTTTCTTCCCCACAAGACTTTAGTTAAAACATAAAGTTTAAGAAATTCTAAGTNATCTTGCAAAAAATAAACTTTTGCGGGATCTCGCAAAAGTTCTTTTTTTCCCTCCTCCATGTTCCTTTAGGGGCTCCATAGGACTCATTGCTGGCCATTTTAAAAAAGCCAATTTTTTCCCTTTCATCCACGCGTGCGTGGTTTTGGAGCTGTGCTTTGGGTCATTATCTTGCTGGAAGAGCCAGGATCTTTGCCTCAAACCAAGCTTTCTTACACTCCGCAAGACATTTCGCTCTAGAATTTCTTCATAATCTTCTGGTTTCATGATTCCTGTGATACGGTCAAGACCTGCAGTACCAGATGCCGCAAAGCAGCCCCACAGCATTATGCATCCTCCACCATGCTTGATTGTTGGTATGGTGTTCTTTTCTTTAAAGGCTTCATTGCGCCGTTGGTGTGAATTACCAAAAAGCTCCACTTTTGTTTCATCTGTTCATAAAATGTTGTCCCAGAAGGCTTGAGGTTTGTCCAGGTTCTCTTTTGCAAAATGGGTTATTGTATTGTATTTTATTATATTTTATCATAATATTAAAAAAAAGTAGAACTGTAAATTTACAGTCATATGTTTATATTACTGTTTTTATATTTATTTATTTTTGTACTATTTTTCAAGCCTGCACTTTTAAAAAGATGAAATTGTCCAGAGAGCTGTTCCAAACCAAATTTATTTGTCTAAGTCTAATAAAGGCAGCGCTATAGGTAACCTCACCATAAGAACAAGCCAAAGGCAGCCCTCTGCAGTATGGAAGCAAATCGTTGCCATATTTAAAATGAAAAAGCGTTTTCAGAAATGCTTTTTCATTTTAAGAATGTGGCTGCATTGTTTGACTCATTAATTAAATTAGTAATCAATCATCCTGTTTGCTTTTTCATTTTCTTCTTTAACACCGCTCATCCTTTTACTTAATTAAAACGTAAAAGAAAAAGACGTTTGAGATTTATTTTTCAAAATGTACCCCAGCAAATGCATACCAAAATTCAATTTGAAATGTAAAATTTGAAAATAAAAAAAAGCATATCTGGAAATGCTTTTTCATTTTAAATATGATAACGATTGCCTCAGTAAAACCGTTCCCCCTCTCAGCCCCCACCAACCCAAATGTATGTTATGCATTGTGATGGAACGGTTTGTACTGAAAATTAAATCTCTATTGGAAATTAAACTGTAATTGACAATTACTAGTTGATTTTTTTTTTCTTGTGGGTGAGACTCACTCAGAAACAGTCGGCTGATTGTAAAGATTAGAGGACTGATTTTCATTTTTTAGTTTTATTGTGCTGTTATTAGTCTGTCACAAGTACAGAGCAATGAAATGAACTGTCTGCATTTAACCCATTAACTTTGGGGATGCAGTGGGCTGCCATTTTGCAGCGCCCAGAGCAGGGTGGGGTTAAGTGTGTTGCTCACACTGCAAAAAATAGAAATCTCAATAAGTTTTTTTTTTCTTAAAATAAGTGCGTTTTTCCTTGATTTGAGGAGGTAAGTAAGACACTTTGCCAATGGAACAAGACAATTTCCTTTTAAAATAAGAAAAAACAATTTTATCGTCTTATTTCAAGTAAATATTATCTAACTATCTTATTTTAAGAGTAAAAATACTCCATTGGCAAATCATCTTATTTACCTGCTCAAATTAAGGCTAAATATACTTAATTTAAGCCATTTTTTTTTACTTATTTCTGGATTGTTTTTGCAGTGAAGGGACCCAGAGTGGAAGTCTGTGGAAGTGGGGCTCGAAATCTAGTCCACCACTCCCCAAAGCAGGACCCACACTGGCAGATTATTTCTCTCAGCTGGTATACGAACCCAGACTTCCTGTTTGCAGGACGGGTGACTTACCTATCAGGTAGCCAGGCGCTGATTTAGTGCATTTCTGACACTTGTTGTGAGCATCAAAGGCTTACTGATGCTTAAAGGGAGCATGGTGCTGATAGATGATGGTCATAATGTTATGTCTGATCATTTTGAACCGTAATTCTGCTAAAAACGCTGAAAGGGGACAAAAACAAATCCCAAAAAACTTTTTCCAGCATGTGACTCCAAAATGAGAGCATTATGATTATAACTGGATTAGCAAAACTGGAGGCTGTTATTTCGGAACCTTTTTTTCAAAATCCAACCTAATGTGCTTTAAAAAACTAAACCTATTTTAGCCAAAAGGGCGGGTTTAAATTTAAATTGATCCAAAACAACTTAATGTTTTCACTGAAATGGAAATTTCCCTAAAAGTGTCCCTAACCGTCGGATCTCCGCTGAGGTCGATTCCCACCACCAAGCCTCCAGACGACAACATGAACTCCTCGGCCAGCTTCACCGTCTCCATGGCGACTTCAGTCCCATTTCTCCGGTCGATGGCCACCAAAAACCTTTCAGTTACATTTATTTTTATTATCAAAGCACAGCTGGTGGTAAACATAGAATAAAAGCCATGATCATTAACCTGACGTCTATGTCCACTCCCTCGTCTTTACACTGCTGAATGGCCTTAATGACGGCTTCCACGTAATTCTTTTTCGTTAATCCTAGGATAAAAAATAAAACCCAACTGTTAACAGAAGTTGGATCCAAGACAACGAAGCATCGAGTCAAACCCTCTGGATCCATTTTTAAATCCGTACCTGTGTCCTTCTCTGCCCTCGGAGTGCTTCTGAGCTCAAGATATTTGACATTATCAGCTGCAAACTCTTTGATAACATCTGTCGCCACCTTGATTAGAAATAAAAATCTGT